TCCAGCTGCTCCCTCCCTCTTTCCTTGACCCACCTCTACCCCTAACTGGAAGAGGAAGGCTGCACTGGAATTGCACAAAGCTAATAGAAAGCTTCCAGAGCTGCATTTCACACTGAGGCCTGAGGACAGAGCTGTAACTAGGGAGCAGGAAACAGGTGGTACAGTTGTGGTGAGTGGGGAGTAATGAGGGACACTGCCAGTTTCTTCCCACATTCTGTCCTGGTCTTGGGCATCAGCTCTTTTTACTTTCTCCTGGCGATAAAATCTCTACTTTGGCTTTAAAAAAGGAAGACAAGTCTCCACAGCCCCATCCAAATGCTTCATCTATACACTCCCAACATTCTTCCTACCACATAGGATTCCTGCCTCTTTTCTATGCCAAATGCTGCGAGTCATCTCTGGGAAAAAGCTCGTTATTCCATCTTGGATCCTATCACTACTTTCCTTACACCCATCAGGACCCCTCCTCACAATTAGGAGGTCTCTGCCTTAGTCAAAAGGGAGAAAATGAGGCTTGAACTAGTAAGGTGGCAGGCAGTACTAAGAAACATTTGAGGTTCTACTACAGCCATATCCTTTAAGGACTTTGTGATTATCTTACTATCATTGAGTTTTAATCTTTCAAATCCATCATTATCCTATTCTGTTAAAGCATAGGGTGCCAATTAGTCATCATCTGATTATTTTCTGGGCACACAGACCCACTTTAAAGCATTTGAGACAATGACATAAATCCTGTGGTTCAGTGTGGACATTTTGGCTCTTGAAACAGTGTAGGTTGGATACAACAGCCACTTCAGAGTTTTGGATTATGGATACGAGGTGAAGACGGGCTCCACTCAATTTCCTACTTAAATTGAAATTCTTCCTGGGGAAGATTTTTGGATGAGATTCTGATAAAATAAGAAAGGGCCATGGATTTTTGGACACCATGTGTTTGGGAGAAGACATTAGATGAGATGCTGTTTTCTTTGCATAGGATGGTGGGCAGGTCACAGGGTGGTTGGTGATAAAGTACACAGGGATGGCAGGGGGAATATGGAAACTCAGGTAAGATTAAGTTTGTTTGAATTTGTGGAAAAAATGTTTATAAAAATAAAGTTGGCAACAGGCATGTGGGATCTTTATCATCAGTTATAGTGTCTCATATTCAAGAAAAGTGCCTGGTATATGTCTATTGAAAATAGTTTGTTGGCATAGAGCTTGTTGGCTACAAAGACAAGTGTTGCTGAGTAAGATATACAAGTATTACTAAGGCATAGTAAAAATCTTGTGATAAGATTTTTATTCTGTTATAGGTAAATCAATGCTGGTGGAGATTTCTTAGAACTTCTAACATGGGATTATTTACATTAGAAGATAAACATTCTGAGCTGAGATCAGGTGGGTGGGGAGTCATGTAAAAAAAGTCAGAAGATATCTCAATGGTCTGGGAGTCATGCTTCATTTGGTAAAATGTTCAACACTGTTAAAGGCTGGAGTTGCTGGAACAATTCCTCAACTCCAGTCCTTTACTTCACAATATGGTAGAAGTTTGTGGTAGGGGTAGATATGGGAGAACTAAAGTAGAACTTTGGCAATTGTTAGGATTCTTTTGTAGAAACAGCTGAGAGATGATAGTGACTTGAATAAGGGTGGTGATGATTAAAATATACAACTATTATTTTACTATGAAGGATAATCAGGTGATACTTGCCAATGAATTCCATGTGGTATAAGGATATAAGTTGGATGTCTAGTCTGGAAACTAGAAACAAGGCGAGATATGTCAACTTATCTAAAATCTCAAAGGCAATGAAAATCCATGGTGAACAAGTAGAGTACTTAGGAAGAGGGCAATGCTATAGGATGTTTCTGAAGATATGTTACCTTCATTTATATTAATTCTCTTCAGCTTTAAAAGATACTGTAAACACCCCCCACTTTTAGGTCAATATGTTTTTAGATATTTCAGTGTATTTTGACATTATACATACATGGAGTAAAACCCATTCCAATTAGGATCTCATTCTTGAGGTTGTACATAAGGGAGGGTTACATGCCACATTAAGGGATGACTTCTCCTTGACTCCTTCCCACTGCAGACAATGTCTAATTTACATTCTGGCCCCTGCAGCAAAAGTCCTTGCAGGAAGGATCTTGGATAGACTTTTCCACTCAGTTAAAACAGACTTCACTTTCACTTTCTGCTATTCTATGAAAATTGCTCTACCCTCTGTTTCCAAACAAAGCCAACTATGTTTTCATATAACTCATCAGTAGCATTCCATAGAAATAACTTTTAAAATACTATGTGTTTAGCAGCCTAACAAGGCAGCACATTATCCCCTATCTTGATAGTTGTCTACTCGGTCTCCTTTGTCGACTTCTCAATATGCCCCCAACTCCTCCCATGTACCGATTCTAAGTGTTCAGATTCATTTTGACTTGGAATCATTGGAAAAATAAAGTAGATTTAAAGCACAAACTGTCACTATCATCTCTAGTGACTATCATCTCAACTGTTCCTATAAAAGAATACTAACAATTGCCAAAGTTCTACTTTAGTTCAATATTCTTTGTTCTCAGTTTTGTGCTTTAAATCCATTTTTCCAATGATTCCAAGTTTGTACCTGCAACCCAAATCTCTCCCTCAAACACCAGACTTATCCAAATAGGTCACATTTTTACTTGGATTTCTGATGCACATCTCAGACTTCCACATCCAAAATTGAAATCTCGATCCTCTTCAAAAAGCTTCCTCATCTCAGTTGAGGGGAACTCTTTCATTTTGGTTGCTCGTGACAAGAATCTTAGGCTTCCTTTTCCATAACCTATATGCAATCTGTCAAACCCTGGGGCAGTTTTCAAAATATATATAGAATTCAGCTACTTTGTACCACATATACTACTACTACCTTATTTTTCCAGATTCCTCCCTTCCCTGGGTTGCTGAAATAGCCTCTGGATTCTATCCCGTTTTTACCCTTAACTCTTTGTATTGTTAGATTCAGAAAGTTTAGTGACTATGCATACTTTTTTCTGCTGAGCCCTGTGTGATCTTTCCTCCTCTTGATCTTTATAATTCTCCCACTCACTCACCTCACTGTAGCTACTTTAGTTATCTAGCTGATCTTTGAATATTGAACATTTATATCATGAGGCATTGTATCTGGCTGTTCCTTTTCAGCATTTTCTCCAGAGATAACTATATTCTTTACATATTTACATATTGGTGTGACAACCATTTGAGTGCAGATATAGCCTTACCTAGCTTCATCTTGCCCCAGAGTTTCCCTAGTCACTGAGTGAGGCATGCTATTCTGGTGTATGTGTGAACTTGTAAGTATGAGGAAATCTACAAGTTTTGGATCAGTCCTTCATCGCAGGCTTGGGCGGTACGTGGAAGCCAGTAGATAAATCTTCACCTTTTCCATGTCCAGAGTGGACAGTCTCAAGATTCCTTCTTCATGAATCTTCATGTTATTGGATATAGTTGACAGTATAGTTCAGTTCAGAGGTGCACCTTTGGATTTGTTTTCCCTGCCTTTGTTTTATTCTTTCATCCCATTTTTGTTCACTGGCATATCCCCCCCCTCCCATCTAAGCAACCCTCATGGAATCCTGGGTTCTGCCTTTTAATGGAACTAAAGTACTTTTCTCACCTCTTTATTTTAGCTCAAATTCCTTTCACTTTTGGTGAGGCCCACTTTGATCTTTCTTTCAGATTGTTATCTCCCCTCTCCACCTACTTTAAAATTCCCTATTTCCTTTTTTAAAGCTAACTCCACATCATACTATGTGATTTAGTCATGTTTTTATTAACTTTAAGAATTCTTACTAAGGGATATTTTCATAGGCTTCCTTAACCAGTTAATGAATCACTTATTTAATTAAGTTTATTCAATTTACTAAATATATTCAGTAAAGTTGAACAGAGGTTAAGCTTGAGACGTGACTACATTCAATATTGAAAACTACACTAGGAGACCAAAATGAGAAACTGGAGAAGGGGCTAAAAATATCATGGGATCCAAGAGAAGAGTGGATGTTTGAAAAAAAAAATCTGTTTTAGTTGTAGATGGACTTTTTTTTTTTTGTGGTGCTGAGGATCAAACCCAGTGCCTCACGAGAGGGGCAAGTGCTCCATCACTGAGCTACAACCCTGGCTCCAGAAGAGTGGATTAAGAGGGAGAGAATGGTTAATTCAGATAGAAGTTCCTGAGAGGCACAGTTGCAAGAAGGCAGGTAAGAAGCCATGGCACCCTCATTAGGGAAATTATGGGTCCTCCCATTGAAGCAATTTAAGAGAATGGGTAAGGAGTCCAGATTAGAATGTTTCAAATTCAAATAATATTTGAGACAGGTGAGCTTGAGACCAATTATAGACATTTCTAGGTGAATGTGAGCTAAATCAATAGGAACCTAACAATTTTAGTGGAGAACAAAAGTTATTTTCAAGCTGGAGTCAGGACTGTATTCAGATTTGTGGGTATAAAAAGGAGAGACTCTAGAACATTCAGATCCCAACAAAAATGTTCTTCCAATATGGAAATATTCTGCATGGTTCAATATGGTAACCACTATCCATAAGTGGCTATTTGGATTTCATTTATGTACCAAAGTTTAAGGTTTTATGACAGAAAATTTGCTTCTGTGTTCGGGAGTTTAGCACATACAATCGTATCTTCCAAAGACATGAACTGATTCAAATATTACTTTTTCTAAAAGGTAGTTATTGTTGATATCAAGAACACTATTCTCCATCCCTTTATGAAATTTGTCTTATCTGTTCTATGTATATTCAGTATCATAGTCACTTAAGATTCAATGTTTCTTGGCAGTAGGAAATATCGATTGTACTTCTTCATGTCTGAGGCCTACTAGTTTATTTTGTTTAAAATACAGCAATGGTAATAAGATTAGTCCTCCAATGGAACATCACATCTTGAAACTCTTTTATAATGTATACTGTAGAAAATATACATGGAAGGTGAAGGAGCCTTGTCAAAAAGCAAGGGATTTCCAGGAGTCATGTCAACTTTCAATATAACCACAACCCATCCAGTGGCCTTCTTGTTGGTGGGAATTCCTGGTTTGGAGCACCTACACATGTGGATCTCCATTCCCTTCTGTTTTGCCTATACTCTGGCCCTGCTTGGCAACTGTACCCTTATTTTTATTATCAGGGCTGATGCAGCCCTGCATGAACCCATGTACCTCTTTCTGGCTATGTTGGCAGCCATTGACTTAGTCCTTTCTTCTACAACATTGCCCAAAATGCTTGCCATATTCTGGTTCAGGGATCGAGAGATCAACTTCTATGCCTGTCTGGTCCAGATGTTTTTTCTCCACTTCTCCATTATGGAATCAGCAGTTCTGCTGGCCATGGCCTTTGACTGCTATGTAGCCATCTGCAAGCCACTGCACTACACCACGATCCTGACCAGGCCCCTGATTGCCAAGATTGGCATGGCTGCTGTGACCCGGGCTGTGACACTAATGACTCCACTCCCCTTTCTGCTCCAAAGCTTCCACTACTGCCGGGGCCCGATGATTGCCCACTGCTACTGTGAGCACATGGCGGTGGTAAGGCTGGCGTGTGGGGACACCCGCTTCAACAACATCTATGGCATTGCTGTGGCCATGTTTATTGTGGTGCTGGACCTGCTGTTTGTTATCTTGTCTTACATCTTCATCCTCCGGGCAGTTCTGCAGCTTGCCTCTCAGGAAGCCCGCTACAAGGCATTTGGGACATGTGTGTCTCACATAGGTGCCATCCTGTCCTTCTACACACCTGTGGTCATCTCTTCAGTCATGCACCGAGTAGCTCGCCAGGCTGCCCCTCATGTCCACATACTCCTTGCCAATTTCTATCTGCTCTTCCCACCCATGATAAATCCCATCATCTATGGTGTCAAGACCAAGCAGATTCGTGACCACATACTCAGTCTATTCCGGAGAAAGGATGTCTAGGTTAACAGTTTTCTGGGGGAAAAAACAAACAAAAAAACCCCAAACCAAACAAAAACAAAAAAAACCCAAAACCAAAAACAACCTCCCCCCACACACAAAACACCAGCCAAGTACTGGATAGGAGTGGAGAGGAAAAGTCTTAACAGCAATCTGTTTGGTAAATTTCCAGTGTGACAAGGAGGATGAGATCCCATTCCTTGCAGGTCCAGACTAGATTAGGTCAATTAAGGTCTTGGGTAGAGTTTTGACTACCTCACTTTCATACATTTATCACATGGGTAAGGAAGACAAAGCACCTTTTGGAAAAAAGTAGCACTCTTCCCTCTTTAAAAAAAAAAGACTTCTGAAGATAGTTGCAATATGTAGTTGTGATGAACTGAATAGTTGTTCAGGGGCTGGGGATGTGGCTCAAGCGGTAGCGTGCTCGCCTGGCATGCATGCGGCCCGGGTTCGATCCTCAGCGCCACATACAAAGATGTTGTGTATGCCAAAAACTGAAAAATATTGAAATTCCCTCTCTAAAAAAAGATTTATTTATAAAGTAGTTGTTCAGATATTTATACTCCCTGTCCTTGTACTGTGGAGGTATATTTCACACTGATGTTAAACATGCTTGTCAATGTATTTTGAGTAGTTTAAAGTGTGCCTCAAGAATTAAACTTTCAATATGCTTGTGTATCTTGGTTTAGTCTCTTTCTTTGCCACAAGAGTGAGCATATCCTGACCTGGGGATTTTCTGTGCTTAGATTCATCAAGGTGAGGATACAAATAGATGTGAATTGGACTGAGAGCTGACCCATAATGTTCATATAATAAAAATATAATTTTTTGTTCTAAAAACAATGATTTGGAAACCATTTCACAGCATACTCAAGGAAAGTTAATTGCTACAGTTGTGCACCCTATCTTACATTTCAATTCTCAGCAGCTTAAGATTGCATTTAATATCTTAGAAACTGCATTTCACAAGTCTTTCTGTGTTTCTTGGTCTGGGTGTACAAACTGATACTTGAATACTCCAGTTTTTAAAAAGATGTTTTCATACATACCTTTTCAGGAAGACCTACTTATACTGTTGTATTACTTTGTGACCCTTTTATTTCCTTAATAATAGCACTTATTTCAATTCTAAGAAAATAACGAAGAAGGGCTGGGGATGTGGCTCAAGTGGTAGTGCGCTTGCCTGGCATGCGTGCGGCCTGGGTTCGATCCTCAGCACCACATACAAACAAAGATGTTGTGTCTGCCGAAAACTAAAAATAAATAAATACTAAAAGATTCTCTTAAAAAAATTCTCTTTTTCTTTAAAAAAAAAAAAAAAGAAAATAACGAAGAAAACTTGCAAGACTCTGATAATGCACTTCAAGACCCATGCTGTTGTGTCAATGCTTACTTCAGACAACAGAAGATAATTAAAATGGGTCTTCAGTCAGTTCTCAGGTGCCCCAGTCCTCCAGAAATTGGATAGTAAGAAAGGAAGAGCCATGAACCTCGGGCCTCTGACTGTTCTGAGGTTCTCTAAATTCTCATTTGGTTTACTCACTAGAGATGGGCCATTCTGTATCATGGATTAGATTATTAAAAACATTTGCTTTCCCAGAGTATATTTCCCCACGCATTGACTATGGGTTTCAACATGTACACCACTTTAATCCATGGGATATCAGCAGACATCTGGCAATACTCATCCGGTAAAAGCAGAAACTTGAGATTTTCTTGCTCAGTGGGGCGTACCGTCTTCTCATGGTGTGGCAGAGTCAGACTGCCTTGGTTATCTCCTTAGTCCAAGGATAAGATGGAAATGGAATAAAGCTGCTTGGCCAATATGTATTTGCAGTACAGTTTCATAGCCAAGTTCAGCACGGATAAACTCATGGCCCCCAGCCTTGCAGTTGCATAAGCAAACCCAGCTCAGACATTGTCAATCTTCAGTTAATTGAGAAATTCTTTATTGTTTTATGACAAATTTTGGGGGAACTTATTCTATAATTAGCATTCAGAATATACATTAGTTATTATCTGTCATCACAATAAAATATGTAGAATGGACTAAACAAATTATAGGCTGCCAACTTGAATCTAATGCATGAAATATGATATGTCAAGAGCTTTGTAATGTTTTGAACAACCAATAAAAAAAAAAAAGAATCAACTTTCCACATAGAATTGAAAAAAAAAGATCTAATTTGTTCTCATATTTGGAAAAAGAATTATCTTGCCCCTCAGGTGATACTCACATAGCAATGTGTCCCAGATGGAGCACATTTACTGTTAGACTTCTATTACATACAAGACAGTAAAAGGAGCTATTTCCTACCTTATCAATAAGGTATGCTTTTATCATAGAACCATGAAAATAATACATGCTTACTAGTTTTAAACAACTCAAAATTTTACTGTCATTTTTTCCTTGTCAAACCAGAACCTAGAGTCACCTCAAATGTGGGAGGTAGGGGAATTTCCACAAAGGATTGCCTTCGACCATCCCAAAATGGAGTTAGGTAGAATTCCAGAGAAATATTAAAAGCCATAGTGATCATCCCAAAGCATCTATTTAGGGAACTTATGTACAGAGTGCTGCAGCAGTCCTCATGATGGACAAGAGATTCTACCTTAGTATGTCTGCAAGTAGTGGGTCCAGTAATAAAGTTTGAAAGTTTAAGGAATTTGGCTCAGGGATCTGACTAGTTTCTATGTTAAACAATGTTTGATTTTTTAAGTATTTTGAACAACAGCTTCAACACCTTTATTAGTGATTAGGAATGTTCAATATTCTAGTTTGGGAATCAAACGAGCAGGGGAAAAGATATAGCTGACCAAGTCAGACTGGTCAAGGCACTTTTTCCAACATGCCAAAGAAACAAGGTAGAGTAAACTGGTGGTGGTGGTGGTGTGGAACAATACCTCAACATGGATTGACTGACAGACATTTTATCTGAGGTAGTTTAGAATACAAATTAACAAAGCAAGGATGGTAACCTTCAGTCTGTTTTTAACATTTAAGTTGTTAAAATTATATTTAATTTATAGTTTTACTTAAGGTGATTCTGCACCACTATTGTCCCCTCCTTAGAAGCATACTATTGCCTGTGTTTAATGACTAAAAATTGTGATTAAATTGGTTAAATTTGTACATGCTGAATTTTAGCATCATCAGCATCTTCAAAAATTCCACTATATACACGTTTGTAAACAATGGCCATCTAGAGCTTTGTTACAAAAAGTGTGGTCAAGGTAATGAGCAGTTTTTTTTTCACTCCATCTTGAATTAAAAAAATGTGAGAAGTTTGATTATCCGTTTTTGGATTTTTAGTGTCCATCATTCATCATCATTGCTAACCCCCTGACCCCTCCCAACTTCTGTCCTATCTAGAGTTCATCTATTCCTCCAATGCTCCCCCTCTCTACCCCACTATGAGTCAGTCACCTTATATCAGAAAACATTTGGCATTTGATTTTTGGGATTGGCTAACTTCACTTAGCATTATCTTCTCCAACTCCATCCATTTACCTGCAAATGTCATTTTATTTGAATGCCGAGTAGTATTCCATTGTGTACATATGCCACTTTTTCAATCCATTCATCTACTGAAGGGCATCTAGGTTGGTTCCACAGTTTAGCTATTGTGAATTGTGCTGCTATAAACACTGATGTGGCTGTGTCCCTTTAATATGCTGTTTTTAAGTCCTTTGGGTATAGACCAAGGAGAAGGATAGCTGGGTCAAATGGTGGTTCCATTCCCTGATTTCCAAGAAGTCTCCATACTATTTTCTATATTGGCTGCACCAATTTGCAGTCCCACCAGCAATGTATGAGTGTACCTTTTCCCCCACATCCTCGCCAGCACTTCTTGTCTTCATAATAGCTGCCATTCTGACTGGAGTGAGATGATCTCTTAGAGAAATGCAAAACAAAATTACTCTCATTGCTAGAGATTAATATTTTTTCATTATTTGTTGATGGACTGTATACTTTTCTGTTCGGTGTCTGTTCAGGTCCTTGGCCCATTTATTGATTGGGTTTTTTTGGTGTTTATCTTTTTGAGTTCTTTATATACCTTAGAGATTAGGGCTCTGATGTGTGAGGAGTAAAGATTTGCTCCCATGATGTAGGCCCTCTATTCACCTCAGATTGTTTCTTTTGCTGAGAAACTTTAGCTTGATTCCATCCCATTTATTGATTCTTGATTTTAATTCTTGTGCCACAGGAGTCTTATTAAGGAAGTTGGGGCCTAATTCCACATGGAGATTAAGGCCTACTTTTTCTTCTATTAGACAGAGTCTGATTTAAGTCCTAGGTCCCTGATTCACTTTGAGTTTTGTGCATGGTGAGAGATAGGAGTTTAATTTCATTGTTGCATATGCATTTCCAGTTTTCCCAGCACCATTTGAAGAGACTATCTTTTCTATAGTGCATGTTCTTGGCACCTTTGTCTAACCAACAAAACTACAATTATCTTATATTAGTCTCTGTGTCCTCTATTTTGTACCATTGGTCTACCAGTCTGTTTTGGTGCCAATACCATGCTCTTTGTGTTACTGTTGCTCTGTAGTATAGTTTGAGGTCTAGTATAGTGATGCCACCTGCTTCACTCTTCCTGCTAAGGATTGCTTTAGCTAATCTGGGTCTCTTATTTTTCCAGGTGAATTTCATGATTGCTTTTTCTATTTCTATGAGGAATGTCATTGGAATTTTGATCTGAACTGCATTAAATCTGTATAGTGCTTTTGGAAGTATGGTCATTTTGATAATATTAATTCTGCCTATCCAAGAGCAAGGCAGATCTTTTCATCTTCTAAAGTCTTCTTTCTTTAGGGTTCTGTAGTTTTTATTGTATAGATCTTTTACCTTTTTCATCGATTCAGGTTTTTTTTTTGAGGCTATTGAAAAATGGGGCAGTTTTCTTCGTTTCCCTTTCTGAGGATTTGTCACTGATACAGAAATGCCTTTAGCTTATGGGTGTTGATTTTATATCCTGTTACTTTGCTGAATTCATTTACTAG